GTTTTAGATCTTCATGTGATAATGCCTGTAAGCAAGAAAGGAAGAGGTAGAGAGGACAAGAGCTTACCTCCTATTTCTCCTTGTGTAAGGAATGTAAGCATTTCTCAGAACACTCCCTACCACCAATAAACATCCCCATATGTCTTGTTGAACAGAACTGGATTCCATAACCATCTTGCAAGAGGGGCTGGGGAAAGCAAAGCTGTAATTCTCAGGCTCTGCCTGGAATTGAGCACTGCCAATAGGCAAGAAGGATGATCAAAACACTTGGTGGAGGCTGTTGTAATAATACACAGTACCTGAGTGTTCTGAGCACTTCCCAGGTTTTAATCCATTGGCTCTTCCCAACAAACCCTTGTGTGGAGCAGGTGCTTATAGACAAGCAAAATGAGTGGCAGAAGTGTTAGAAAACAGTAAGAATGTGAAGGAGCCAGGATTCCCACTCCACGGCAAGGCTGCCCAGGTACACATCTACCTGCACAAGGCACTGCTCTCAGCCTGCAGGGTCCTTCCCAGCAGGCTGCCTCTCATCTCATCACACAGGAAAGCTCTGGGTGAAGCTCATCTACCTCTGAAGTGCAAATGCGACATTTCTTGCAGTCTCGCAGCCTCAGTGTGGGTAAGAAGAGCAGGGTGGTATCCAAGAGTGACAAGAATTCCTTCCTGTCATCTTCAAGTTTGCAATAGCTGCTGCTGTGATTAGGGCAAGGGTCAGACACTAGAGAACCCACCTCGTGGCCACGGGCCAGTGCTAAACAGTATTCAAGCCACTGTGCTCTCACAGGGGTCAGGAAGTTCTGAAAAGTCAAGAGCAAGTGACAGAAGAGTGCAGCTACAAGCAGGCAGGATTAGAATAGAACAGATGTTTCAAAGTTCTGGGAATGTCTTAGGGGCTATTGCCAGTATCCCTCTCATTTTCAAATGAGAGAAAAATTACACACAAAATAAGGTGGAAGGGCAAGTGTTTGGTGCAGTGGTTAAGAATGCCCGCATCCCATATCAGAGTGCCTGGGCTTGAGTCCCTGCTCCACTCTGATCCAGCTTTCTGCTTATGCACATCCTGAGAGTACTTGGATCTCTGCCAACCTTATGGGAGATCTGGATTGAGTTCCAGGCTCTGGCTTCAGCCTGTCTCAGCCATGACTGTTGCAGGCATTTAGGGAGTTAACCAAGAAATGAAAGATCTTGCTCTATCTATTCTCCCTCCCTCTTTTCCTCTGCCTCCTTCCCTCTTTCAAATAAAAATAACAAATAACTAAATGAAAAAGTAAGCTGGAGGGGCCAGTGCTGTGGAAAAGCAGGTAAAGCTGCCACCTGCAGAGCCAGCATTGCATATGGGCATTGATTCAAGTCCCAGCTGCACCACTTCCGATTCAGCTGCCTGCTATGGCCTGGGAAAGCAGTAGAAGATAGCTCAAACCCTTGGGCCCCTGCACCTGCATGGGAGACCCAGAAGAAGCTCCTGGCTTTGGATTGGCTCAGCTCCAGCCATTGCAGCCATTTAGGGAATGAACCATCGAATGGAAGACCTCTCCACCCACCTCTGCCTCTGCCTCTCTGGAGCTCTTTCAAATAAATCTTAAAAATAAACTGGAGAATTTGCTTAAGATCACCCCACTAGTTTACATCGGATGTGAAACACAAAATGAAGGCTTTTGTCCAGGGGGACACAATTAATATCTTAGAGGCCTCCTTTGCCTGACTCTTGCAACGAGTGTCCCTAGCAATTCACACATGCTTTGTTCTAACATTGAATTTGTTCTCTTGTGCATGAGTCCCTCCCACTAGTTTGGGAGGATCTCAATGGTCAGACCTGTCCCACCTCCAGATGTGACTCTTGACAGTCTTGCCAGCTGAATGACTGGCAAGTTATACCCCTTCTCCAATACTGATTCTCTCCCTGTCTGAAATGGGAAAAGCAACAGCACCAATCTCAGAGTGATACTGGGACAATTAAGCTTTAATGCATACAGCATTGTGTGCCAGGCAGACTCAGGGATTGGTACATAGCAGTCATTGTGCATTCTGTATCTCCTGGCTGCCCGTTCCCATGTGTGGTAAATCAATTTATCAGTTATGAGCAGGCACTCAGAGCCACCACCTTAACAGTGAGCAGTCAGGGCAGCAGAGCAGTGGAGAGATGTAAAGGTGTCATGACAAAACAGGATTAGGGAAGGTCTAAATCCAGAAGGTGGTAAGATCCCATAAAACTAACGGGAAGCCGGCACCGCGGCTCAATAGGCTAATCCTCCACATAGCGGCGCCGGCACACCGGGTTCTAGTCCCGGTTGGGGCGCCGGATTCTGTCCTGGTTGCCCCTCTTCCAGGCCAGCTCTCTGCTATGGCCCAGGAATGCAGTGGAGGATGGCCCAAGTGCTTGGGCCCTGCACCCCATAGGAGACCAAGAGAAGCACCTGGCTCCTGCCTTCGGATCAGTGCAGTGTGCCGGCCACGGCGACCATTGGAGGGTGAACCAACGGCAAAGGAAGACCTTTCTCTCTGTGTCTCTCACTGTCCACTCTGCCTGTCAAAAAAAAAAAAAAAAAAAAACGGGAGAGAGACATGAGTGAGAAGAACCTGCATCACTGCTCATCCCCCCACACCTTTTGGGGGGCTTTCCACTTTGTGTTTCTCAAGGTGTAAATAAGGCAGGTACAATTTTCACCAACTTCTTTAGACCTAAAAAATGGAAAGTCAATTTCATTTGGTCACATAAGTGGTGAGTGGCAGAGCCAGAGCTAAATAACAAGGTCAAATGACTCCAAGAGCAGGGCCTACACTACCACAAATGGCTACGAGAATTAGATAAGCTGAAATATGTGGGATCCTTGGCATGGTGACTGGCACAGGAATGGTGGCTGGTGCCGCAAGGCTCACTCCACTCCACGGACCCCAGCTCTGCTGGTCGTGATAGCGAGAACTGATGCATTACTGCTCCTAAAGAGGGGAAGCTCCTTAACCCCCAACTTTCATGAGTGTGAGGATCAGGTGCCCCACCCCTGAGAAGGAGCACCTGACACGAGCCATGAGAAGCATCCATCCGTCTCAGAGTCTTATTGCCAGATGATGACGTCGGATGGCCCAGATTGAACCCCAATCCTAAGCGTATTTCTTACACTCCCATAACTCTCATTCATAGGTCAGTAAAGAGGCAAGAGAGGCGGTGGCCAGGGAGGCAGCAGCAACAGTGAACGCTACCCAGAGAGAAGGCAGCTGGCACTGGAGGGCCTTGCACCAAGTCCGAGGCCTGGAGAGCCTCTGGCAGTGATTACAGCCGTAAATAAGCAGAGCTGATGGCCTAGCAGAGCTGCTGGCTGCGCAGAGGCCCAGGACCCTGCCAGGAAGGGACTAAGGGAGATGAGATTCTTGTAATTACACTGGTGCAGGTTACCCACAGCGACTCTGATCTGTCCCCAGGCTGGAAGCCACAGAAGCACCTGTTACAGCCGTAGCTTGGCAAGCCAGACCTAATGTGGCTTCATCCAGGCCACCTGTAAAGGCATTTAACGCCTAACAACCTGTATACGGCTGCTAATTGTCAGAATTAATTTGGCACCTACTCACTGGTAGGTACTAAACAAGCACCATGGAGTGAAAACCCATTTCCTGCTAAAAGTGGTTTTACTCCCCACCCCACATAATTAAAGCTATGAGAAACAGGGTCATTTGAAAAAGCCAAGCACCCCATTTTCCTCACAGAACTGTTTTAGGTGTCTCTTCTCTTGGCCCTCTCTAGTATTTTAGAACAGCTTAATTTTCTTCAGCTTGTTCAGTTACTGCTGCCCCGATGCATAACTTAGGCTATAATTATTTTCTCATTTTCCCCTCCAGCTGGCACGAGTTTGGTCCCTTCTATCTCATATCTTTAAAATGTCATACTATTGCCCTAGCTTATTTTAAAACCCCAGAAAGAGGGGAAAGCAAGCTTTTGTAGGCACAGCCTCACAACTCTCAGAAAGTGTCCTGCTGGCTGCCCGCGAGCCACCAGCCAACACAGCAAGCAAACAACAAACATCTGAGCGCATCTCAAAGAAAACACACAAATAATCATTGGGTTTCTGCTACTTTAACAAAAGGCAGGGATGTCAACTGGAGTGGAGCAGAAGCAAAGCAAAAACACTGATTAGGACTTCTAGAAAGAAGATACTTTTGAAAACAAAGAGGTTCTTATTGTGTTTCTGCCTCTGTGACCCCTAAAAGAAACAGTGAACTAAAATTTATCACTGAAAGAGGCGGGAAAGAAGGCGATGACTAAACCTTTGCAATAAAATAGCAACTTTTTTTTGGTCTGAAAACGTGAAAATCAGCAATCCATTTTCAGAAGTTCTTTTTTCTTTGACCTCTAATATAGTACATTATCGGTATAATTACTCACTGACTACTAATGAAAGTCAGCAATATGTATTCTCTAAGACATTGTGCTTATACAGTGAATTTGCCTTGAGTATTTTCGAAACAAAACACACAATTTATAAATGTTAACCTTGGAAATGCACTTGCAAGTGGTTGCCCCAGCACTTACTTAAGTAGAAGCTTTTTGAAATGACAGGCCACAAGGAACTCCATACAAATTCCATAAAATTAAAAAGAAGAAACAAATAGGGAACCTGTTTTCCAATAATAATTTTGTCGGTTTGCATGTTAACAGGTCAAGTTAGCAAATATTAGGAAGCTGCCTGTGACATCTGGCATGTCCTGTAAGCTGCAGATGGTAATACTGAGTCCTACTTAGGAAAAAATTAAGTACAAAGGGCTAGAATATTTGACTTACTGTGGGGAAAAAAAATTAAGAACAAACTACACTGGGTCAAGATAATTCTCTGATCCTTACACACACATAACAACACGCATGGATTTAAAAAGAAAAACACCATGTCCCATCTGTTCTCCTTTGTCTTTCATTACCAATTTCTGCTCATTGAATATTAAAATGACATGAATTTTTATTCATTAATTTTTATTTTTATAGATAATCATTAATATCACATAGAGCTGCAATATTTTTGTTAACTTTATTTTTTGAATTAAAGACAATACTTTCAGGCTTTTGTTAAGATACTCTAATTCAACAATAAGAATCATTTCAACTTCAATAAACTGGACAAAGAAATTGTTAGAAAACTTTCGGATGCAAGTCATGAAATTCCAACTTAAGTTAGGCAAAGGCAGATCTGATGAGAAGGGCACAAGAACATTGTGTTACTAAACAACAGTAAGGCCTGAGGTTTTCTACAGCTTGACCCCAAGGTCAAGGAAAACCAACAACCTGCCTATCGTGTTCTCAGTAGCTCAGTTTCAACCCCGTCACTAGACCTTGGGATTCTTACCCCGGGGCCACTAGCAGCTTCAGGCTCCTTGCTTCACAGTTTCCACCACCAGGGACTATTTATCTATCCCATTGCACCAGCTCAGAAAGCCCCAGGGACAGCGGCTTGGTCTGCCGTGGTCCACATGCCTGTATCTAAGGAGGCCGAGGCACTCTGAAAGGCAGGCCACCTACAGGGCAGGTGGACGTCATTCTCCAAAAACGAGCTGGGAGAAAAACAGGCTGCTGAACAAAGACTGAATAATCAAGCAGGATGAAAACATCAGGTTCTGAAAGTTCAGGCAGTTGGAAAGGCAAGGTGACACAGGATGGAACACTGGGAGTCAGCACTAAGGCGCTCACCCATGCTTGCTTTAACTCTATGTTCCAGCCAGGATAAATAATCTGGAAACACAGCAACACCATTTTCTCCCTCCATTCTCCCCCATCATGTTTTCTGTCACCTTTCCTTGACATCTAAGTGTTCGGTCTACAAATTATCCCTCAAAGCTTATGCAAGGTATCCAAGATGTGACAGTTAGAACTTGGTCCACAGTTGTCTGTGTGACTTGGGGGTTCAGATCTTCACTTCTGCATTTCCATTGTCCAGATTCTCAGCATTATCTTCCAGACCTGGAGATTCCCCTGCAACTTCCAGTTCATATTCCTTTTTTAATTGCTGCATTTTCATGTTTAAATCCAGCAGAGTTCTGGCCAGCTGACGGTTTTGGAAATGCATTTCCAGCTAAAAGTTAGAACAATAAAGATTTTTATTAGCCCGAGATACAGATCAAATGAAACTGCTCTCTGACTGCACAGCAGAAATAAGGAGTTTGTGGGAAAGGAAAATAAGATATCAAGAAAGATGTATCTCTCTTATTCTCCTCTTCCTACCATTGGCCTGCCCATAAAACTGACTTTCCATATGACAAGGTAAAATCCGGATATATAAATAGCTTCGGAAATGGCCTTGAAATGAAAACAAAAATAGCTGATGCACGAAGCTGTCCATATGACGAATACCCAGGCACTGAAGGCTGTTTTCAAGCAATGGCATGTGATCCACGGTGAAATCGTTTATCTTTATGAGCTTTCTGAGCCACACGGTAACTGCCTCGGGCCACCTGAGTATTCAGGATCTGGGCCCATTTGCTTGATTACTTGTCATTTCAAGTTTTCAGGATTTTAAACAGTCTCCCTGCCTAGCAAAAACCTTTAACGACACCTTAGAGGCACATGTATAGTTATGTGTACTTATATAATCTAACACTTTTTCACTCTAGAGTGAAATCTGTTATATAGTGAGACTGATTTATACTTCCTCCAATTGGACTTTATGAAGGCCCTCATGTGTTAAAATTTAAAAAAAAAGATTTCTAGGACGTTACATAGGAGGCAGTCCAACAAAGCTTAATCTGACATAATCTTTATATTATAGCTGGAAACTAATGGTCACCTTGCTTGCAAATTTCTTCAATTAAGGTCTTGTTTAATGGAGTTCATTAAGAACTTACTCTGCTTAAAACCCTTCATCAACCTGTCAACAGTAATCGCCTTATGATGAACCAGGGCACTGTGCTGGTAGGAACAAATACCACTGGTCCCTTCCCAATTCACATAAAGCTACTGGATAAAATTATCTTTTCACTTTTCTTGCTAGACATTTTTTCTTCATTCTTCAGCATCTGGAAGCACTTCTCTGACTGTAAGAATTAGCAAAGAACAAAGTAAAAGAACATGCAGCAAACAGTAACGACACACCACCACAAAAAAACACCTGCGCCTTATCTACAGGAAGCTGCAGCGCCTAATGGAGCCCAGGTGCTCTGCAATCACTCTCCTTGCCCAGCTTCCTGGCACTCTCCCCCATGCCAGCTCCCGCTGCAGCTGGTCAGAAGCCTTGCCAGTCTCTGATTCGCTGAGCCACACCTTCTCTTCACCCCTGTTTAAGATGCGTTTATCACCTCTCTTCTGGCTGAACACAGCCAAGTGCCAACTCCTCTGACATCTGTTCTGCAGCACACTGTACATGTAACCCTCATAACATCTAGACTAGACTGGACTGATGATGATGAAGGCAGAATTTGTTTCTTATTCATAACTGCATCCCCAACTGTGAGCGCCCTGTCTGGGGGTAGGTTCTTTGTGTGATTGGTAAAAGACCGAGTGGATGAATGAATGAATGAATCTATGAATATCCATCTTGTACCTTCATGCCAAATCCCAGGAGTAAAAATGTTGCTAATGACTGACCATGGTTAAAATGTGTAATTCACACTTAGGAAATGCAAACAACAATAGGAGGGTCTTTAACTTTTCTTTCATCATGGATTCCTTTGAGAATCTAGTGAAAGCTATGAACTCTCTGCAGAAAAAAAATGTACTTTATGCACATAAAAATCTGCATACAAGTTGAGACATACAGAACCTTGAAATCTACTTACAGATGCTAGAAATCAATGCATCCCACTAAGAAGACCAAGTGAAACAACAGAAAATAGTATAAACAACAGCAGGAGTATAAACAAATTGAATTACTCATCAATGTTTCTGACATAAATACCATCCTAATATGCAATGCATGTTCAAGTATATACAGGTGTCTGCTAATTCCTACAGAAATCTGATTAACAGCCCATGTCTAAAACTCTTCCTTCTGAAAGTGGGAATGATGTTAAGCTAAAGCATCTACTGTTTCCTCTTCTTCATTATTAGTAGCACATTGGTGAAATGGTTGGTCAAGATATTCACCATGGTCTGTAGCCCAAGAACATATTACTGCTATATGTATCTGGCTCCTTTCCAGAAAACTCTTGACTTTTGATATGTATGTAACTGTCACTTTTTTTTATCAATCCCTGTGGTATATTACAATAACCATGGTGATAATAAGAGCTACTAAATAGTGCCTATGGTGTGAGCACTCATCATCTCATATTATCTTTACAGAAATCTTTTAGGATTGTTGTCTCCATTTTATAGATGAGTAAACACACATTCATACTCGCAATTTAACATTCTCAATGTTGTCAGGCCAACAAGCGTCAGCAGAGCCTGTAAATGGTAATGCTGGGATCTGAAACCTCATCTCTTTGGAATTGTATTCCCTGATCCCCAATAACTTGTCGCAAACTCTCTGGTGGAGCAGCTGATAAGAATATTAAAGGTGTCTCAGAAATACTGAGTATCAGCTCTTCATTTACTTGGGAATCAACCTTGGCGCACAGAACAGCAGTAATACTATCCGGATCAGCAGCAGAGCGATGACTAGGCTGCATCTCAGCCTTCCAGCCTTGCACAGGACCCCAGGAATCTAACAAGGTGGCTCTGCTACCCAGCTCTGTAGACTCACTGTGTAGACTCAGAATAAAAACCTGGTATTTTCTTCAATGAGGTTGAATCAGATATAATACACCCTCTGTCAGATTCAGATTCAGCATGTCTAAGACTAGGCTTAGTATCATACTACCTTTCTTAAACTCAGAAACCAAGTAAATTCAAAGTAATCTAGAGTCTACTGACAAAAAAGGGGGGGGGGGGGCAAGAGATCTATCTCAACAGCACCACTATTAGAAAAACTATATGGGGTGGGCCGTGAAAGCTGCAACCCGCAATGCTGGCATCCCACATGGGCACTGGTTCCTGCCTGGCTTCTCCACTGCCAATCCATCTCTGCTAATGGCCTGGGAAATCAGCAGAAGATGGACCAAGTGCTTGGGCCCCTGCACCCACATGGGAAACCTGGATGAAGCTCCTGGCTCCTGGCTTTGGCCTGGCTCAGCCCTTGCCATTGTAGTCATCTGGGGATTAAGCCAGCAGATGGAAGATCAATCTCCCTTTCTCTCTCTCTCTCTCTCTCTTTGTAACCCTGCCTTTCAAATAAATAAATATATCTAAAAAGAACACTATAATGGGAGCAGGTGTTTGGCACAGCAGTTAAGCTACTTCTTGGGACAGCCACCTTCCACATTGTACCCCCTTAGCGCCAGTCCCACCTCACTTCCAACGCAGCTTCCCGCTAATTCGCCCTGGGAGATTCAAGTGCTTGGGTCCCTGCCACCCACATAGGAGACCCAGAGGAAGGACGAAGGTCCAGGCTCCCGACTTTGGCTTGGCCCAGCCCCAACTGTTACAGACATTTGGGGAGTGAACCAGCAGATAGGAGATCTCTCTCAATATCTTTCTCTTCTACCCTCACCAACCACTATAGCCTTTTCAAAGAAAGAAAGAAACTAGTATTCTGGTAAGGTTCTTAAATCAGACCACTTACAGATGGCTCACTCAGTTCTAAAGTGGTGGTTAATTTTATTGGTATTCAAGGCAAAGGAGGTCAAGCCTCCACTACACACATTCACTGGCAGCGCTATTTTCAAGTTTGAAATGCTTCTATTCACTCGTTTTTTGTTTTTAATTAAGAAAAGTCACCTAAAATACTTACCTACACGTCCTCCTGTTAAGAATTCAGACCCGAACTCCCTAAGGTTCAAAAGCTACAATTTTATGGAAATCGTATTATTTCTAGTTTTCTTAATTCTCAACAAAGGGGAAAGATAAGAGCAACTTGCAGGGTATAAGAAACCGTTGCTGGTGGACTCCCTCCAGCAGGTCCATGAAAAAGTTTAAATCATTGAATTTTCTCCTCCAAGCTCTCAACACGCACCTATTAAGAGTGACCTACAGGGAACATTCAATGCGTTACAAAACTATAGAAACTTTTTAGGTGGAGGCATCTGGGGACAACAGCGGCGGATCAGGCACCCATGGATGCTGGGGGGAGGCTGGGCGTCAACATCCCCTCCGGGAAGATCAGTAGGGCAGCGGCCCGCTCTCCTTCACCGGGAACAGCCGCCGTGGCCAGCGCGGCGGAGGACCCAGGAGCCCGCGAGCGCAGCCGAGGCAGCCGGCGCCCAGCCCGCGCTCACCAGCTCCGCGCGCAGCCCGGCGAGGGCGCCCTCCACGCGCTCCCGGTTCTGCTCCTCCCGCGCCGCGGCCTCCGCCGCCTCCCGCGCACGTCTGGAGCCCCCGCGCGGCACCGCCCTCTGGAAGGCGCGCAACAGCCGCCGTCGGAAGTCCTCCAGCCGCAGGCTGGCAGCGGGGGCCTGCTCCTGCAAGTCCAGGCTCCTGCCGGCCCCCGGGGAGCCGCGCGCCGGGCCTGGGGCTGGGGGCCAAAGCCCAGCTCTGCCTGCTTCTCCAAGGCCTGCCCGCGAAACTTCCTCTCTGCTGCTTCCGAAGTCCCCAAGGCCCATGGCGAAGACTCGCGGTGCCCTCTGCCGCGCTCTTGCTTAGGAGCTGTTTCTGAGTTTGAAGATGAGGGAGTGGCGGGGCGGAGGTAATTAACGGAACCTGGACCCCGCCACGTGGGAGGCCCTTGTGGCTCCGCCCCCAGAGAGGCCAGTGCGGCCAGGCATCTCTGTCCTGGATACCTCTCTTGAGCAACAGAGGAAGCCGGCAGTTCTTAAACTCCGAGTAGCTTTCAACTGGGTGGTTATTTGTGCCCTACAATGAAAGGGAGAGTCTAGGGAGAAGTCTTGGAGGCTGAGCAATTGTCATGTAGGTAGAAACCGAGCTACAGATGGAAGATTTGGGACCAAAGGTTGAGTATTTTTAAACAAAAGTCTTCTCAGTTGCTTCGTTTTCCAAAACCATTCTTCATGACTTTCAATCATCTATCTGGTACTCCAGGTCCCCAGATATTGCCCAGAGACCAGAGGGAGAGGCTAGGCCCATTCGTGTGTTAAGAAAAATCATGCTTCTACAAGTCTAATGGCACGTGCCTGTGAGTCTTAAACTCCATGTGCCTTTCTGCATGCCCACATTTATGAAGGGGTTAAAATGAGAAATAAAAGGCTCCTATACCCCAAACTGTTCTATTTTGTAATTTTTCATTTCAGTGTAATCATGTGCCAATATTACTTGTATGTCCTCTATCAATGAACATATTCTACTGCCTTTTAAACATCTTACTGTGGATTTCTAAAAAGGAATGAGCAATCAAAACTTGAATGTGATCATAGAATGCAGTTACAAAGGAAAAACAGTAGCAGAAGTGTTCACACAGAACTCTCACCTTCCAGTTATTCCTTCAATAAGGATTTACAAGTTGCATCTGGTGTTCCAGGGTCTGTGGCAGGCACTGAAGGCAATACAAACTAATATTATTAGTGTTTGCTATGTGCCAGGTACTTTGCATGTATTAACCCATTTAATCTTCACAACAACCCTGTAAGGTCAATATCGTTGGTTTCTCTCGTCTACACATAAGCAAACTAAGGTATGAGGCTAAGCTGTATGCCAAAGTCACAAAGCTGAAAAATGGTCACTAGGTATTTTTGTCCAGGACTCCACTGGGATACCCTGTGAATATACCCTGCTCTCAAAGAGGAAAAAATTTGCATAGCTCACATGTTGTGTGAATGAGTGTTCAAACTCAACTATGTTCCTAAACCTGAGCTCTACTGAAGTAGCTTACAGCTCAGTTGAATAAGGAGGAACGTAGGTTGACCAAACCGCTGCTGATAATTTGCCAAATGCAACACCTTACAACAGTTTACAATGTAAGTATAGTAAAATACTTATCATTGTATATCATTTCATAAAGACATAGAAACAGTTGAAGATGTGTTCTAACGGTAGAAAATAGGAAAATCCATACAGTCTATCATGAACCAACAAAACATAAATTTGGGGTTTGGGTTGATGATCGGCACTATTCAATGTAAAAGATAAATGTTTAAAGTGAGTTTTCTGCCATGATTTTTCACATCTGTTTTTAGATTATTTGCTTCAACAGGAATTTCAGTTAAGTTCAATTTCATTCAACAAAGGATGAATGGTGCGTGTTTGAGGTTAAGCATTGTGGCTCGTAAAGAGAATACAAAGAATAAGGCAGAAGCTGTGAGCCTGGGAGAGAAAATGCATGCATTCATGCAACAATATTTATTTAATGCCGCCTTATGAACCAAGTAGTATTACAAGGTGCTCAAGCTACAGTGGTAAACCAAGGAGACAAAGTGATATTTTAAGATAAACTGCTTTACCACAAAGTAGTAATTTGCTTCCATAGATTGATTTTTCAGCTGTGGTATACCTTGAATTTTGGGATAACTTTTTTCCTTTTTCATAGGCGAAGAATTGAAGAGCTAGGGTGACTATAACATGCACAAACACTTGTGTTAGTTAATATATTAGTTATCCATTACTATGTAACAAACGGTTCTGAAATTCAACGGCTTAAAACAATAAATATTCATTATCTATCACAGTTTCTATGGGAAATAATTCAGAACAGCTGAGATTATGGCTTTCCTGATGCTGTAACCAAATGTGAGTCCAGACTGGGGTCATTGAAGACTGGATGTGATTGAGCTGGAGGATCTACTTATAAGATAAATCACTCCCATGGCTGGCAATTAGTACTGGTGCTGGGTGGGAGGCCTCAGTTCCTCCTCATGTGGACCTTTCCCTAGTGTTCCTTGGGTGTCGCATGATATAGTTGTTGGCCTCTCTCAGAGTGAGAGAGAGGGAAACTAGGAGAGACCCACATGGAAACTCCTTATATGAGTTCCAAACCACATTTTTATGACCTAGCTTTGGAAGTCACAAAACATCACTTCCACCACATTCTGTGCATTAGAAGAAAGACTCTAAGTCCAAACCACATTCAAGGAGGGGAGAATTTGGCTCCCCCATTTGAAATAAGGAGTATAACTGAATTCACAGGCATATTTTAAAGCCACCACAGGAAGAAAAATTATATATGTAAACAATGATCTAAATGACTGCTGAGTTCCTGTTAGGAAAAAAACGAAGGCCAAAAGACCTTGGGACCTTTTTTAATGTGGAGAGAAAAAATTAACAGATTTTAAAAAATCAAGGCAAAAAAATGTTTCATTAGAAGAAAACTAGGAAAACTTGTCACCGGCAGACCTATTGTGTAAGAAATACTACAGAAAACTTCTCAGGCTAAAGAAAAGTAACAACAGACTTCGGAAACCTAGATCTTTAGGAAGGAATGAAGAGTGTAAGAAATAGTAGATAGGCAGGAAGGTAAGTGGGTGGGTAGGTGTATATAAATGACATTGATTCCTTTTAATTTTTTAAAAATATAACTTCTGGAAGTAACACTACCTTACTTTAAATCTGTAGGCTCTTCCCTCGAGGCCCACACTGTCGGAATGGTGGGGTGACTGCCTCCTTTGACAAGAAGCACCAGAGACAACTTTCGGTGAACATGTCCGTTTATTAACAATCAGGTACATTAGGGGCCGGCACTGTGGTATAGTGGGTAAAGCCGCCGCCTGCAGTGCCAGCATCCCATATGGGCGCTGGTTCAAGTCCCAGCTGCTCCACTTCCTATCAAGCTCTCTGCTATGGCCTAGGAAAGCAGTAAAAGATGGCCCAAATCCCTGGGCCCCTGCACCCACATGGGAGACCTAGAAGAAGCTCCTGGCTCCTGGCTTCGGATTGGTGCAATTCTGGCTGTTGTAGCCAGTTGGGGAGTGAACCAGCGGATGGAAAACCTCTCTCTCTCTCTCTGCGTCTCCTTCTCTCTGTGAAATCTGAATTTCAAGTGAAAATCTTTAAAAAATCAGACACAGGCTTTAATGTGTCAGGCAAAAGGGGAGTAGCTAGTTCAGGGCAAAACTAATTCTAATTCTATAGAATAAAGCCAATACCAGCACCTCTGTGTTTCTCCAATCAGTTTGAAGGTCATGTGTAGCCTTCCAGATGGTCTACTGTTGCGAGCGCCACTTGTCACGGAGCTCAACAAGGCCAATGCAACGTATCAGAGCACGGGGAAAAATCACACAGAATTGTGATAGTCTTTTCAATAAAATTTATTATTTAATAATCAATATCTCTCTCTCTATATATATATATATATATATATTCAATGCACACATCTAAAGGTCAATACCACTCAGTATATCATTAGTTCACAGGCCATAACACACATCTAGGAGTAAGGCAATTTTCAGAAATATCCAGCAATGGTAATAAGTATAAAGCATAAAAAGGTATAAAAGCATAACCAGTCTAAACACTCATGGCTAAGGATGTAATATGTAATATGAATGCTGCCTTCTCAAGGTCATGGTCACATAAAGTCCAGAGTCCAAAGACTCAATTACCACTCAGAGAGACGGATCTCAGAACAGTCACTTACAGACAGGAGTCATGGGATGACTGGCACTCTGGGCAGTAATCTCCGGTTTCCAAGACGGACAGCGAGGTGAAGGGTTGGAGAGGTCACTGATTAGAGGTCTGGTCTGGCTCTTGTCAGCTCCGGCAGCAGCTGGGATGTCCAGGCGAGGTGGGCTCCAGCAGGGTGGCGAGCAGACCTTCAGTCAGTGGAGTCGGGCAGTTTCACTTGCGCTGAGCCATGGTCCTCGAGGGGATGAAGAGCAGCTGTGAGGCTTGCCTTTCTATCTCCTCTGGGGTAGGTGGGCAGTGAAGGTGCCCTGGTGTCACCAATCACAACCTCATCTTTTTAGGTGTCACCAACCAGATGTTGGTGTCTGGGTGTGACAAATGGTGCGTTAGGGGTCTTCTGGGTGTGACCAATCGTGCAGTAGTGTGGGTGAAATAATGCAGTAGCCAGCTGGTTGGCTGCTTCTTATGATGTAATGTCTCCCAGTCCTTATCCCTCACCACCTGTGTCTGTTCTGACAGATGGTCTGGGCAGTTCTTGGTACTTAGTGGTCTTAGCTTAAGTAACTCCATTTTGGTTTTACTTAGCTAAAGTAACTCCATTTTGGTTTTGCCTTTTCTCTTTCTTTTTGGGCTAGTGGTGCTCTGAAACTCCTTTGGGACTCCTGTGGGATTCCCCACATCTTTATGGGTCTGTGCCACACCCAGGAGCTGTTTACCTGGGTGACAATTACAAGGCCCTTCAACAGGAAGCAGGGGTGGGGGAAATGTGCCTAGGGCTCCTGCTTCCTGCCAGCAGTCAGTTCATATGTGGCTGTCAGTGCGCCTGAGCCCCTCACCAGTGTCTTTCTCCAGAGGTGTGGTGTAGCATGTCCTCTTAACTTCCTGCATGGGCTAGGCAGGCAGTCTCCCAGCCAGGAACAGGATCACCCATATAAATGTATGACAAAACTATAGTACTAAAAACAGCATGGCGCTAGCAAAATTATGGAAACATTGACCTATACAAGAGGATAGAGGGTCCAGAAATGAGCCCACATGTTTATGGTCAATGATTCTCAATAAAGATGCCAAGAACACATAACAGATTGTCTTTTCTAAATAGTGTTGGATAAATTATATATCCACAAACAGAAGAATTACTTTGAACTCTTTTTTTTTTTATTTTTTATTTTTTTTTTATTTTAT